TTGTCGTTTTTGTATAAAGGATGTTGTGTTTGTCATATGCCATTGATGTTCTATTTAGGTCTAAGCGATAATGGCTTCATTAGAAGCTCGTCGCTTTATTGCTGAAATAATGCCGATGCGACGTTAAATTTTAACTCAATCACTCACTCACTTCACTAGAAGCAAGGATATTTTCAATTCATTTACAATGATGTGCTTAAAAGTAAGTTTGTTCACGGAGCAGTCATTTTAAAGGATAACGAAAAGATTAAAAACACATAGATGTCTTTCAAACTCAACTCATCTTTAGAAAGTGCTTGTCAAAATGATTTGCAAGGCAGCGTTCTGTTATGTTTTGTTGCTGTTATCTGATTTGTGGCTGATATTCGTTCTATTTGAATTCTTAACTTGAATTATGAGAAATATAGTATTATTTTCTATGATCTTTCTGATTTTTCATTACGTGTGTACATGTGTATGCTGAATCTGCTGTAAAGACGTTTGTTACTCATCTGCCTTGCCTTGCAAAATAAAACTATATTATTAACCTTGATGTTGTTCCAAAGGACTATTCGAAGATAATTGCCAACAGGTAGTGAATAGTTGGTTGGATTTGCTGGAAATACCAACAACTTCATGGCGTTCAGTGTTCAAACTTGTTGAGTTTGAACTTTTGGTTCAATATAATCGGTTGGAGAAATATAAATGTTGGAATAGATTTTAATTGCTTTATAACGGGTAATGCAAGGTCCCCCGTGAAGATCCGGGTTATAATAATTTTCGGCAACCGATGTTTGTCATAAGAGGCGACTAACGGGATCGGGTGGTTAGGCTCGTTGATTTGGTTGATGCATGTCATCGTATCCCAATTGCATGGATCGATGCTCATGATGTTAATCACTGGATTGTCTTGTCCAGGCTCGATTATTTACAGACCGTCGACACATAACTGGAATATTGCTGAGTGCGCGTTAAACAACAATCAGTGTAATCAGCGTTGCATTCGGAATAATGTGAACTTTAGAGTGTGAGTGAGTGACTTTGATATTACGCGGGTTTTAGCAATATTCCAGCAATATCACGGCGGGGAGCACCAGAAATGGGCTTCACACATTGTACCCATGTCGGGAATTGAACACGGGTCATCGGCGTGACGAGCGAACGCTTTGACCACTAGACTACCCGGCCGCCCCTGTTAACTTTAGAGGCATCACTAGTTTGACTAATGAAAGTATACATTGTATTTGTCGAAGTTTCAAAAATGGTACATTCACATTTACATATTATTAATCTATTCTTGAAGACGAGAAATGCACTTTGCAAGAAATGTTTGCTTCAAAAACATACGCCATTAGGGGTAGCCTGCTGTACTTCCCAAACAAACCCATATCATGAGTGTTTACTGGTTGCGCCTATTTGCCACGCTCGCATCCGAAGCACCAAGTTGCCCGATTCCTCATTGGTGCCTTAGGTTTAGTACTTCCCAATCTGTTGTCTGACATAGGGGAGTACCTGGGTTTGCTACCAGAAATACAGCTCTTCTGACAATCTTGGCAATGCAGAAGGCTGCAGTGTTCGGGAGTCTTCACATTCTCCAAAAAAGCTCCGAATGGGTTTGACTAGGCAGCGCTTCCTGGGAGAAGTCTTATTCGCTGTCTGGGCTGCGTGTAGAGGAGCCAAGGGCCCTGAGCTGATGAGTGAGTGAATATGGTTTAAGCCGCTTATAGCAATATTCAAGAAATATCACGGCGGGGGACACCAGAAATTGGCTTCACACATTGTACCCACCTGAAGAATCGAACCCGGGTCCTCGTTGTGACGAGCGAACGCTTTAACCACTAGGCTACCCAACCGCTCCTCTGAGCTAATGATGAGTCTGACCAGCCAGACTGTGCCAGGATCACCCAAAACCCTCTTTGCTGCATTTGTTATTTTAATCTGTACATGATAATAATAATGACAAAAGGAAGAATTAGAACAACATCAACAATAAGAAGAAGAAGAAAAGAACTTAAATAAGTAAAAAATACATTTTCATAATCATAATCATAAGGAATCGCTAATGAAGAATTCATTGTACAATTTCAATTCCAATGAGTGCAATGTGTGAAGCCTATTTATGTTGTCCCACACTGTGATGTTGTTGGAATGATGATAAATGCGATGTAAAACAATACTCACTCGTATTTTCTCGTGTCAAAATCTGCCACAAGTGAGGAGTTAAAAGTAACGTCACATCGGCATGTTGCAATCATAAAGCGACGTAACTAATCTGTATACAGGGGAACATGCTCCAAACGTACGAGGTATTGGTTTATGTAACTAGTGTGTGTCAAACGTCTAATTGCTTCTTTGAATGAAACAAGGGGCCCCTTCCTTTACTCGGCATAGGCCATCTCCTAGTGCGGGTCAATTTAAATAACGCGACCATCAAGCTTACTCATAATGGCTCCGACCTTTTTTCTGACGCACACATGCATGTTAGTGTAACACTAGGTACAGGACTATTCATAGGGCCCTTTCCAGAGGAGGGATAGCCTACCATTCCCTACTACTGGTACAGAATGAACGAAATGGCATCTGAGTACTGTTTTGAAATAGCTCATAGTGCACTTCGGTGATGTATGCCACCATTCGAATAGGTGAATTCGATGTTAACATGTCGAACCTTCGTCAATCACTTCCAGGTTTATGCCTGCAAGACTTTCTCTAAGTCCAGAGCCACCAGTATGGACTGTTGTATACGTGTTGCATGGAATTCACAGTATTGAAACGAGACACGACATACTGGGATATGCAGCAGAAAACAGAGTAGCTTTCTGAGTGACACTTATCTATGTTTGTATGTTTAAAGCTGCACTCAGCAATACACCAACAACATGACGGAGACCAGTAATAACTTTGTCCAAATCACCAACTGAATTAGTTATTGCTCTGAGACGTTTACACTATGTAAATGGATACATGTTTAGTGTGCTTCAAACCGAATTGATGAGGTGCGCACTCAGCAAGCCCCACCCCTCCTTCCATCTCAACCTCCCAGTGGGGACCCGGTGTAGATAAACAAGAATGTGTCCTCAGCACCCCGCTGCCGGTCTTAAAAGGCAACCGAATTGGGCAGCATGTTTGCCGTGGGCTGCGACCCTTTGTTGGCAGAGGAAGGGATTCTGGTAGCTGAGGGCGACGGAGCCGGCAATAGTGCTCCTTAGTCCAACACACCACTTCGACCCTAACTTCGCCTTGACGGGCGGGAGAATGGGCCCGATTCTATCAATCGGCTGGTCATGTCATGCCCTGTGCATACTTTTTCGTATAAAACTTCGTCATGATATGGCTGAAATATTGCCGATTTGACGTAAAGCATAAACTTATTCCCTGACTCGAACAAACGTTTGGTGCTTAAAAATAAATTTATTCAAAATGTCAATTCTAAATGTATGAATCTATCAACTTGCTTAGAGCCCTATGCCCAGAAGGTGGTGGCTCATGTGCCAATCTGGTGATGCTGACCTCCGAATTCTGTACGTCTCCAATGAATTGTTATGGGTCGAACCAGCCTGACCCTTAATTCGGCAGATAGCTCTTCACGTCAAATTTGCTGGTGTATACCACCTCTTTATCCCCGGTCTTTGCAGCTTGGAGATCCGCTGCAGCATAAGACTGTCCTTGTAGACACTCCATGGTAGGTGGGGAAAAGGGGTGCAGAATTATTTCCCTTTGGGCATGGCTTCCCAACACCCTGGTACAAAAAGACGACACATAGAGACTGACGAAAATACTACGCCCACTCGATCCGACTATTGGCCACTTTTCTAGGTTATAGAAGCTTTAGACAAAGAACCAATCAAACTCAATCCATTTGCAATCTCCAAAGGTATCATTAGTATCTGCAGAGAGATTACAAATGTCCTAAAAGCTTCGTTCTGGCTCTCTCCTTGTAGAATGTGCACGGATACCTCAATCTGTCAATCTTCTTAAATTAAATGAAGGGCTCACTACAAGCACTTTCACCATCTCCTACTCTGCTGCCGTCTCTCGTCCTCAAGTCACTACTTCCTCTATCGACTGCCAGACTGATCTGACATGGGTCAAGGCTGTTCAGCCACTTCCAACTGCTTCAATCCAAAAACCAGCTGTGCCACTTTAATCTGTAACACCCCAAAACGAGGAACCATCACAAATGTTGAGTCTCAGAGTCCTAAAATAACACCTGAACCAGAGCCAGTTAAACTTACAAACAGGGAAAATAAATTATTGAAAAAGAAGCAGCTGAGAGAACAGCTGCAAACACCAAAGGCCACCTCTCCTTTAGATGGTCCCAGTCGAGGTCCATAACTCCTTTGGTCCTCTGGACATGGAGGTAACTCAACATGATACCGATAGGCGTACTACAAAGCCTTCCTTACGTTTACGTGACATTTCTCCTCTGGAAGCACCACCATTAATCCACAAAACATAATACAAAGGAATTGCAGAGGTCTTAAGAAGAATTTTAATGAAATACAACTTTTAATCCAAGATTTTAAACCAGTAGCATTTTGTCTCTAAGAACCATATCTAAAAAACACAGATCTATTTGATATCCGTCAGTACAGTTCTTACTACTTGTTGTCCCCTCCTGGTGATAAAGCTACAGGAGGTTCTTCTATCCTGGTGAAGCAGGGCATTATCCATAGCCCTGTTCCACTCAAAACTACTCAAAAAGCCGTTGCTGTCCGTGTTACTTTGAACATAGTGCTCATTATGTTCATCGTATCTTCCATCTTCCTCAACTATCCGTCAATCAGATCTTCAGAATTTGTATTGTGAGCACCCGAAGCCCTGTATCATCATGGGCGATTTAAACGGTCAAAATCCCCTATTGGGGAGTACTGACACAAAAAATAAGGGAAACGTCCTTGGCGATTTTATCTCAAACAATGATTTATGCATCTTCAATGATGGTAATACCACAAATCTTCATCCCGCCACTGGCACATACTCTGCCCTTGACCTTTTACTGACCGATTAAAACATACTAAATGAATTCGAATGATCGGTCCATCTGGTACCTGGAGACCAATAACCTCCTGAGCGACATCCAGTGTGGTTTCCGAAAAAAAACCAGAAGTACCATTGACTATTTGGTGCGTTTAGAGTCGTTTATTAAAAAAAATCCATTGTCAACAAACAACATACTGTATCAATAAGGCATATGATACAACGTGGAACCATGGTATTTTAAAAGATTTGCATGGATTTTGATTGAGGGGCAATTACCTCAGTTCATATCTCATTTTTTAAACAACAGACCATTTCAAATACGAGTGATCTCTACCCTGTCTGAACATTTCGATCGAGATCAGGGCGTCACTCAAGGCAGCATACTATCAGTCACACTTTTCAGCATCAAAATTAATAGTATCACTAAAGTATTAAACAATAACGTTGATGGTTCACTTTTTGTGGACAATTTCAACAATTTCAACATTTCTTGTCATGGTAAGAATATGAATACAATAGCAAGACAGCTGCAGCTCAGTCTTAACAAAATTCAAAAAAGGGCCAACGAAAACGGCTACAAATTTCCAAAATCCAAAACAAACTGTATTCACTTTTGTCATAAATACAAACTTCACGAGGATCCAGATTTATTTTTTGATGGTACTCCTATCAAGGTAGTAGAGGAGGCCAAATACCTTGGCCTCATATTTGACCGTCATCTCACATTCTTACCACACATCAAATATATCAAGGCAAAGTGCCTGAAGGATCTCGACTTCAAATTCCGAGTGGGTAGGGTATCAGACCACCCTCCTTCACTTGTACAGATCATTAATACGTCCCAAACTAGACTATGGTTCCATTGTCTATGTTGGAGCCTGCAAAAGCAACTCAGAAAATAATGGACACTATACACCATCAAGGCCTAAGGCTCTGTCTTGGAGCTTTTAGGACATCTCCCCTGGACAGTTTGAATGTGGAGGCCGATGAACCTTCACTCAAACTGCGCCGCATTAAACTTTCAATGCAATGCATCACTAAATTGCACAATAAATCCAATCAAGCATACAGTTAGGTTTTCCACCCTTGTATGAAAACCTGTTTCGAAATCTATCAAACCTGGTTCCACCACTTGGAATCAGAATTCAACCACACAACACCCCAGATAAAATTGGTGAAGCCAGATGTAGACCTCACTCTAACCTTCCTCAAAAATTCCGAAACAAATCCTTGGGTTTAACAACAAGCATACAACCAATTGCAAACTCAATATTATTCTGACAGGTCCATTGTTACAGACGGCACCAAGGATGGTGGCAAAGTTGCAAGTCCCACCATCATTAGATCCAGAACTGTCTCCTCAAGAATACTAGATTTTAGTTCAATTTTTACTGCTGAGGCCAAAGCTATCCAAACAACTTTGACCTATATTCAACAACAAAACCAATCCAAAAAAATCATCATCTTCTCTGATTAGTTATCTTGCCTTCAGGCACTTAAATGTATCTCACCATATTACCCTATTATCCTTGACATTTTAGAACTCTATAATGATCTTTCTACTAGCCAATGTGTCATCGTCTTTTGCTGGTTACCAAGTCATGCAGGCATAACAGGTAACTCAAAAGCCGATGCAGCAGCTAAACCAGCCCTTGACAAACCTTTATCTCCACTTCTTATCCCGTACAGTGATTTTAAACCAACCATCAAATATGATACCCGGGATATCATGCAAAAGAGGTGGGACACCCAGGTAGGAAGCAATAAACTACACGAATTGAAACCATCATACCTACTTGGGTTGTCAGTCAAGACATGACGAGGTCGTTTTACGACGATGTCATATTGGGCACAGTCGGTTTACACACGAATATCTGCTTAAGACAGATGATGACGAACCCCTTAAGTGTATCCCTTGTGATGAAAGGTTCACCATCAAGCATATCGCAAAGGATTCACATTATCAAAGCATATAAAAGCATCTTATTGTCAGCTTTTAGAGAGAAATTGGTCTGTATATACATTTTAGATATGTATGTGAATAAATAAATGCTTGTTTTTAAATTTGGTGTGATGCTATTAGCAAATGACATTATTGAAGGCTCTGTCCAGGAGGTTAACGCAGCGTAAAAATATTGTCCCCCTGTGTGACACGTAATCCTATCATAATCGATGTAACTATCAACAACCAGTGTTTTTAAGCCATTTCATTGATGAGTATTTTTTAATATTGGCTAGTATTATGCACAACCACCAGTAGCTAAGTGATGACGTAAATCCTGCTGGGATATCATGCAGGAAGCAGAGGTACTGTAAGTCCCCATGATCCCCAGCGAGGTGGCCTAGCTTTGGTTACTGGTGGTCTATAGCCCGTGTTTTTAAACTGTGTTATATTATGCTCAAATATGTTTCATAAATTATTTTTAAACACAGCATGCATGCCCAAGTATGTTTCATGAATTGATTTTAAATATCAATGTGCATAAACTACTCAGTTGTTGACATATTAAACTTGGTCTCGTTGCTATATGGCTGAAATTATGCCGTTGCGACGTTAAATTTTAACTCACTCACTCACTCCATCTCAACCTACAAATCTTGCGCTCCAATGCATGTGACTTAAGTGGCGTTTTCTACAGCTCAACATACTAACACATGGACATGTCATGACTGTTTGCATCCGAGTGAGTGAAATGTGAGCAGAACGTGTGGCGTATCTGAGGCGTAATGGTCCCGAAAGACCACTGGGTGATGCAATCAGGGTGAACAAACAATCAGCTGATCCAATTAGACTAAGGCACATAACTCTGCATATGGACACTCGCCCAAACGTATGTCGACCTTGATGTCGAACACTTAACCCAATTGTTTTTAACAAAAACACAAAATATAGTGTTCCGGATTCAACTAGCATTATCGTCCACACACACATATACGATGGTACCTATTAAACAAACGAGATGCACAGTGCACAGTGCACGTGGGTACATTGATCTGTTTTCCTTAAGATCAGAATGTGGAAACTTTGGCACCAATCGAGCAGACTTCTTATTCATCTGTAAGTGTTCATGAATAATACTTTCAATGGATTCATGACTAAGACCTGTGTTTTCCAGAAGTTCAACAAGGTTATTCCTCTATGTGACAGTAAAAGTTTTACCATCTCCTTGATTTAATCTTCATTGATGGAAGTTGAGGGTGTCATAGCTTCCGTCAAGATTCCGGGGTAGAATAGGTCTTCAGCAACCCATGCTTGCCGTAAAAGGCGACTATGCTTGTCATAAAAGGCGACTATGCTTGTCATAAAAGGCGACGAAAGGGATCGGGTTGTCAGGCTCGCTGACTTGGTTGATGCATCTCATCGATCCCAGTTGTGTGGATCGATGCTCATGATATCATTCACTGGATTGTCTGGTCTAGATTCGATTCTTTACGGACCGCCGTCATATAGCTGGAATATTGCTGAGTGCGGCGTTAAACAACAAACCAACCAACCAACCATAGCTTCCCACCCTTTAACAGTGCAATACCTACTGCACTTAACCCCATACACTTGTGACATGCGGTCATGAATTTATTGGGGAGTACTTTTCTCTAAAGAAAAAAACTTGATGACTGCTCGATACTCTTGTTTTATTTGTATTTCTGTGTCCATATGGACCTCTTTCACGTTTAACCGTCTGTCAGTAATATGCACACGGCCTCAACAGACCAAATACACATGTGATGAACAACGCAAACAATGAACGACATGTTCCAGTTCACTTTGCCCATAGTTGAACAGTGATACTCTATTTATTGTTCTTTTCGTGAGATGCCTTTGGTCAAGACTTTATAAAGTTGACGTATGCAGAAAGGTAGGTCAATTGTGCTGGATTTGGCTCACGCGTTATATTAGGTTTCCAGCCTTTTAGTGTGACTTGATGACTGTCTTTATTATTGGTTTGTTCAGATCAGAACAAGGACAGTCAGTTAGATATGAGATTAAATGCATGCACAAGCAGTTTACCGTCAGGTCATAGTTATCAGTTTCCATTGTTGATATGTTTCGGAATCATTGTGTCGATTACACGTGTGACGTGGACAGACACGCCTATGCAATAGGTTATCATTTACCTTGTTTCCTTCACCTGTGTTTCTACACACAACATGTACTGTGGTAGGCTCATACATTAGATTTCAATACCAATACAATGAGTCAGGAAGCTTTTCAATAATATTCACAGCACAATATGCAGAGCGGATCAGGCGGCTTTCAAGGTGAGACATGTTTCATATAAATATTCCGACATTTCTTGATTATTATGTCTTCTCCTTGAGACGAGTACACGGCATGTTTTGAAATAACATGTTTAAGAATATCTACGAATAAGACAAACCTTCAACGCAGTGTTTTTCCCGTCTTCCGTAGCTTTTCAAGTGTTCTGGCTCTCCTATTAGTGAAAACACTCGTCTGAAACAAGGATACATTCGCTTCAACTGTACTAAGCCTGTTTACGTCTTTAATACATCTATGGTCAATGTCTAACTGACTATTTGCAGAGCTCCCTAATGCAACAAATCTCTTCAGAAAAAGACAAGTCATGTGTTTATGTTTCACTCTCTTCTGTTCTATCGCCAATCTTAGTTCCAAATACAAGTTAAATATATCTTCCAGAATAATGATCACTTCTGTCAAGTTTGTCTTCAAACGCAGTTTTTGTGTTGGATTGTCTTGTGGCGAATTCCAGCAAATCGCGTTCCTCTGTACGCATTGTCTCAAACTGTTCGTTCATGTTCACATTGATTTGCTCTACTGTAGATTTCAGTGTAATTAAATGTGATGTTATGTGGTTTCTGTATGTTTACAATATTGTGTTACAGCTTTGAAAGAAATAGTGGTTTCAACAAGAATTCGTTAAGCAAAATTATTTTGAAAGTAACAAAAGATAGATTTTCATTTCTGATAAAAAATGTTATTCAATGCTAAAAAGCTTACCCTTCTCTGGACCACGGACATGTCATGGTAGAGCCATGTTAACAGATCATATACAATTCAGAATGTTATCACGAGTGAGGATTATGAGTAGATTGTGAGTGAGTTTGATTTCACGCTGCTTTTAGCAATGTTCCAGCAATATCACGGCAAGGGACACCAAAAATCGGCTTCACACATTGTACCCATGTCCGGAATCGAACCCGGGTTTTCGGTGTGACGAGCGAACGCTTTAACCACTAGGCTACCCGTCCGCCCTTATGAGTAGATAAATTATAGTGACATGTATTACACCTGATAATATTATTATTATAATGAATGAAACAATAATAACACTGAAATATTCAGAAGAACAAAACAATGTGGACATGAAGAAACACTGATTTCACTCGTGACATTTTCCTTTATCACTCGTACCGTGTGGGTTATTCAATAATTATTCGCATTGTCGAAATGAATTAAAGTCAAATAAATAAGGCGTGAAAGCAAACGCTGTTCTCTGAACACTGTACTTAATTGAAATGTAAACAAAACAAAATTGAGATTTCACACTGGGTAGCATTTTCTCCTATTTTGAGAGATCCGTTCGTCTATGCGTTGCATACAGTGGCTCACATTTATTTTAGAATATGCATGGGAAGAGGATCGTAGCAAGAATTTGGGCTTAAATAATAGATACTTTACAATAATCTGGTAAATTCAGCAGAAATTGTCAAAGTTTCCGTCCTGCTTGACACCATGTTTATTTGTTTCTTTGTTGTTTAACACCGCACTCAGCAATATTCTAACTTCATGAGGGTGGTGTGTAAATAATTAAGTTTGGACCTGACAATCCAATGTCTGACATTATGAGCATCGATCCACGCAAGATAAAATGCATAAACCAACTTCGCCTCAAATAAATACTACAAGCATAGTCGCCTTTATTTGATGGCTGATAACCTTCCTACCCTGGATCCCGTGTCGCCATTACTGACGCAAAATCACGCACAACGACAACGGTATTTACCTGCATGTCTGACTAACTCTTGGTTACAGAAATCACAATATGCATTTGCATAGTTATGTACATACATTCCCTGAATCAACAAAAGTCCTTCTCTAAACTTCTCGCGTACTGCCGTCATATATATATATATATATATATATATATATATATATATATATATATATACACACTTATGACATTAAGCTGTTCAGTAATACATTACACGTGAGGAAAACTTCGTTGCACATGAGTCACAAAACACTTACATAATCAGGTGAATGCGGAAGTCTAAGACCTAATTTACATGTTAGATCGGGACCCCCATTTTGCTATTATTTCCCTTTTTATGTAGCAACATCATGTCTTGTAATTGGTTATAATACCTAAATATACACGGTTTCAATATCGATATTTCTGATTTAATAGTTTGTTACCTGGGGAACAAACAAATACGAACATATACTATTTTTATCCACCGCTTTTTATGGGCTAGTTCTAAGCACAGCAGAGTTATGCTCCTCTTTCTTTGTATGTGTGTATACTTCTCGCTGTCGTCTTTTGCCGTCATAGCTGAATTTCGATTGTCAACATTTATAGCAATCTATAATGGTTTTGTCAAGTCATTGTGTCGTTCAGATATTAGTAAGTATTCTGTTCACACAGTTTTCATGAAGCTGTTTAATTACAATTAAACGTCGGAAAATACTTTAATAAAAGGTGTCGAAACGTGCTTTTTATTAAGGCATAGCAAAATCTCGGACAACATGTAACCCTGTCTTTTTTCAAACAAGCTTAATAAACTGAACGGCAAAAGAAAGTATAGGTTGGCAATTTGTAATTTTCCTAGAAAACAGCGATAACTAGTGGAAAGTGGGTATTGGGAATATGACTGCCCAGGAATAGGTACCAAAAAAACCTCACCCGAACGCGCCACCTTTGACGGCGCTCGTCCGGTGACAAAAAAATGTTGAAACAGGTTTCCCGCACGTGCATGTTAGCTGTATAAATGCGTTCGTCTGCAGGGTATAATAACCACACGTGAAAGTCGCACACAGAAGAAATGCCACGACTGTCACTGGAGCCGAGAGAGAGAGAGAGCCATCGGTATGGTCCTAATTGCCAGAAGGTTTAGTTGTACACCATTGACAGTAGCCAGGCGGATTCAACGGTACAGGCAGACATGGAGGACACAGGACAGGCCTAGAACCGGAGTGACAACACCACTGGAAGACGGTCAGATACGGCTCATTCCTCCCCGAAACAGATTCGTAACGGCGACGGCGACGGCGGCGGCAGCAACAGCGTTGGGACATCCCATTAGCCAACGTACAGTACTACGACGACTTCTTGCTGCTGGAATCCGAGCATATCGTCCTTTCCGAGGAATGGTACTGACTGCTCAACATCGACGCCTGAGACTGCGATGGGCAAGGCAGGTTCTACGCTGTCAAGTGATAAATTTGGGTGGAGTGCTTTTTACTTATGAAAGTCGGTTTAACTTGTTTCGAAATGACGGTAGAGAACGAGTTTATCGACGCAGACGTGCACGTTTGGCTCCGGCGTGTATTCGAGAGGTCCATCCATTCGGCGGTGGACGTGTCATGGTGTGGGGCGGTATTTGTGGAGATCAGAAGACTGATTTGGTGACCAAGTGTTGCAGCCAGTTGTGCTTCCGTTCTTACAAAACCAACAGCAGGGGACATTGTTTCAACACGACAATACCAGGCCCAATGCTGCAAGACTGACTCAAAAGAGATTAGAGCATGCCATCAGCCTCTCATGAACAGACAAGAATTGCAGCAGGCCCTGAGAGACGAGTGGAAACGGATTCCAGTCCACGTCATCAGAAGACTGACATCATCGATGAGGCGGCGTATCAGAGCATGCACTGAGGCAGCTGGAGGTCATACACGCTATTGAAGGCAACTGTGTCGACAATGAACTTGTAGTGTGCCTGACAATGTTTTTGGGTGACATTTCAAACATCTTTTGAAAAAGAAATTTCTTACCCCACCAATGTTTACCTTGAGCTTACATTACCCGTGATTGCACAATCATTCAAACTGTGGTTGATCAATAATGTGTAACCCCTCCCTAGATTATATTATAATTGACAACAATACCTCTTCTTGTTACACTTTATTGATCATGGAACTCGAAATGTACTTTCTTTTGCCGGCCAGTTTATTTGCATTTCATTTTACATTAAATTTGAATCAGGTAGACAATTTAATATTGTACATCCCAGCGTAATTTAATGATCAGAGGTAGACCCGGTGCCGCACGAGCGCATTTCTTGCACAATGTTCAATTTTCGGAAACTAAAATGAAGGTGTGACAAATAACTCCGCATCCACGGGTTAAAAACCTTACAACGGAAGTCAATGATTCACGTATAGCATATATCAAAATATAGCATGACATCACAACAAGAAACATGACGCCAATCGTTAGGGAAATGCTGGTATCAAGTGATATCACCCAACATTTCCAGAAATACAAATCTTAGCCATTTGCTCAGGAAAACGTTCATATTGTTTTCTTAATGTTTACAGATGAAGCATTCACTCATCCTGAAGGACTTTCTCCTCTCGGTTCTCACCATCTTCACATTTCACCTGGCACAGAGTGGTAGGTGTCTGAAATACGTTAATGCTAATTATTATGTTCATCGCGTTATCTTCGAGGTGCTACGGTTTGGGTTAGATGATTTACAAATTGAAGCAATCTTGGAGACAAACTATTTTAGAAACACCGTTCCTTTACTGCATAATGTACTGTGATTGCGGAAATACATTGAATAGATAAGGTGTGGACGACGGTATGTCCAAGTATTAAACATGTTTCATATGGAAACAAAATGATGTATTTTCCTGTTTGTTTTCTCTTAGATACAGCTGTAATACACTGTCCTGACATAGCCTACTTGGGTACTTCTGCTCAAATTACCTGTTCCACGTCTGACAACTTCACTAATACCATTTACAAATGCCCATGTGGAGTTGCGCCACAGTGTCCGGTGTCATACTGCACCAATGTATCAGGACAGAGTGCAAACATCGTCAACCAAACACAGACTGAACTCACGATAATCAGTGTACAGCCACGACATTCAGGGAACTGGTCATGTGCTGATGGAGGAGATGTGGGAACAACGTTTTGTCTTCTTGTCGTCGCAAGTAGGTAGACGTGTTATGAAGAATAAAGAGAAATAGTGGGTGAATAAAAAGGAAAAATGATTTCCAAAAAAGATAAAATAGTTATGCATGTGTTCATGAATCATTATCAAATAGTGATGATACCATTTGTTTCCGAAAAGGTGAGCGTATCCTGAATCACCGTTGTATCAATGGAATGTAAAGAGTTAACTTTGTGTGATATCACCAATGCTTTCCATGTATTGCTGCATTCAAGCAGATGAATACGTGACACGCATTCTCCATAATTTGGTTGTTGTTTTGCGTCACTCTCACCAACTTTCCAGCTATATAACTCCTGCATGTACATAGTCGAGTTTGGAGCAAACAAACCAATGGTGGATATTATGAGCAAATGGACTCAACGTGCTAGTAGGATAATACACATCACATGTCATCTATGAAAGCATCCAACACAGAGTACTGTGAAATAATCTCAGCTATAAGAGACTGACTATTCTTTATCCATCTTTACACATAGTCCGATATGCTTGCCGTAAAAGCTGATTATGATTGTCGTATAAGGAGACAGACTAACGGGATCGGGGGGTCAGGCTCGCTGAATTTGTTGATGCATGTCACCTATCCCAGTTGAGTGGATCGATGCTCATGATATTAACCACTGGATTGTCTGGTCCAGACTCGATTATTTACGGACCGCCGTAATATATCTGGAATATTGCTGAGTGCGCGTTAAACAACAAACAAACCAACAAACCAACTTAAATAATCTCGATATACTTAAAATGTTCAAGCAGAAAGTCAACCTTATAGACTTTTTTCGTTAAGACAAATAATTCATTGTCTTCGTAATTATATAAAGGAGGATATTCAATTTTAGTTCTTTTACATCACTAAACTTATTTTTATTAAAATGCAACTGATGTCATAACTTGATATAGATGTGACAATAATAATCAAAGTGAAAGTTGCGGGATTCGCATATGTATACAATTATTCAAAACTTTATGTTTTAGAGATTCCCTCGGTCAACATAACCAGTGATGTGGATGCTGATTCAGTGAATCTGGGGGACAGAATATCCCTCACAGTGGACATTCGAGATTACCACTGCTCTGACGCTTACAGCCTAACACTACAGATCGGGAGTGTCACCTACACATGTGAGACTGGGTGGAACGCAACCGTCGAAAACCTGACCGAAACAGTACCCATCAATGTGACACAAATACACTTCGGGGTCGTGAAGCTTGTGTTTGTCTGTGGTAATCACCAGTGGAATATTACTTCTGGAGGTGTAAACGAGCTCCAGCAGAATAGTAAGTATCATTTATGTCGTGATCCAGCTGTACGTCATATGACTCAACTATGATTAAGGCAGGCAACTTGTATCGTTTATCTGTGTGTGTGTATGCGTGCGTGCGTGCGTGCGTGTGAATATTTGATAACATCAACAAAGAGCATGCACTAGCGGTGACATTACATTGCAATTGGACCCGTGAAGATTCCGGGGTAGAATAGGTTAAAGGTGACTATGCTTGTCGTAAAAGGCGACTAACGGGATCGGGTGGTCAGGCTCGCTGACTTGGTTGACGCATGTCATCGATCCCAATTGCGTGGATCGATGCTCATGATATTAATCACTGGATTGTCTGGTCCAGACTCGATTAATTACAGACCGCCGTCATATAGCTGGAATATTGCTGAGTGCGGCGTTAAACAAAAAAACAACAACAACAACATTGCAATTGCCATCGAAATAGACGTCGTACATGCTGTCTTCCGGGTTGTCATGGGAGCAAAACAATGATATGGTCAGCTTGAAAAGTGTAAACAGTTTCCAATTACTTTTAGGTTAACATCGACCAAACGATGGCCCTTTGTTTTACAAGGATATTCAGATGACCATATATAGACCTATAAGTGATCATCCTTCAGACACCACATTTTGTGCTATTTAAATAGCATAGGTAATAAGTATTTTCAGTATATATTTTTTTAATTCGAAGTTTACACGATTTACGGCTCTTCTGTTGGACGAGAGGTGGGTCACATGACCGCGAAATAGACGTTCATAAGTGTATAAACGACACAATTTGACGTTCATACGTTTTTCACGAGACCATTTCCTTGAAATGACGTAAACACTGACGGACTACATCCACATTCCTGGGGAAACCCCTGGGAATTCCCTAGCACGAAAACATACATAAGTGTTCTTTCTGACCATTTAGAACCTTTGTTCTTGATCTCAGCGTTTCAGTAAACATTGAGAAATGTCAGAGAGCGTGACTGCATGATTGTTCACGAATATCCTCGCTATGGCCCAGCCTAATGAGCAAACGAAGAAATGCACATCTTAACTATCGTAGTATCGACTCGATCCGTGTCTTCGGCTGACACTGACCGCCTCCAGCAATCTATGAATTTACCTTAGTGTCTGTTTGACGCATATTTATTCACCTTTCAATGATCGGCCAGTTGATCAATGATGACTAACACATGTAACCGCCACAGGTTCTGTAACAACTTCGGAAATCTATCCCGTCACGTTTATCGTGTCGGCCATTTTGACCTCTTGTAGGCCAACTTGATGTAAATGTATTACGACGCGCTGTCAATTTGACTGACTTACTGAGGTAGTGAAAAGTCAATTCTTAACAAAAAACAAGGGCTTGCATGTATGGACATATCATCGTGTCATGCTTTACTGACATTATTCTAGGGACAATGTATAAAACTATGTTGAATACTGAACATTGACGTCACGATGCCTGATGACAATACTCGATGGTCTGTGATAGTGGCATCTAGTTCTCCGATAAAGGGAGTATCAAGTTAGTTCCGAGGGCAGAGAAACGCCATTGTTACCTACTGAGGATGCAACAGCAACACCATGACAACGGAGATCGTCAACTAAGCAGCAGAAGGCACCTTACCAGTGCATTTAACACTGACATGAAATGATAAATTTGTCAGAACGAATGTTGTGTAACTGTGAGGACGTTGTATAAGGCCCATCTGATAATTCACCTCATCCTTGACATAATATATTGTGCAAATATAGTTGTCACCACAACTTGTGTATTTAACAAACACACACATTATTAACTGAAAATATGAGTATTGAAAATACCACAATATATTCTGTTACAGAAACTAATGTACAAACCACTATTGACACCCCAACGCCCCCCGATGATTCAAAGCTGTTAATAGTTGCAGCAGGAGCCTCTCCGGCTGTTGGTGTCATAATAATTATCACTATCGTGTGCTGCTGCTACCGCCGTAGAAAACAGGTAAATCCAACTGAAAAACACGAACCTAACCTTCCCTTTGATCCTCCCTATATATCTGTTGGAGGGCCAACAGGTACGGCTTATTCCGATGTGGATGTAAGTATTCAGGACTTCAGGAGAAGTAACACCGCAAAAGGAAGCCCACGAAGTGCTGTCACCCGCTGTAGTAACGGGACATTGAGAGATGGTGGAGATGTCCATGAAGCCACAGGAAAGGATGATGGGTCACAACTTGGAGCTGAGGGGAACATACATGCAGGGGTCATTGTACAACTAATTGTACCTGATGTAGATGAACTCTATGCCCGTGTTAATAAAACCAAGAACACAGCAGAACGCAACAATGACACTGCACTGTGATCGAAAGTGCAGCATATTTAGGGTTTTGCAACAGTTATGTCAAAATGCAGTTTTGAAGATAGAGGAAAACACACAGAGCATTACCAAGAAAATGTTGCCAATAACTGCAAGGGAGGTTAACATATGTGCATTGTCTTCTAGCATACTGTAACTGCAGCCAAAATGAGAACGACTGATATTCATTTCACCGAAATCGTCACAATGTAACCATATTGATTTCGTTTTATTTTTGCGGAGGTGACCTAGCGTCAAACGAAAGCCTTTACTCGCAACCCGGAGTCAAACACCCTTTCACACATGCAACTGTATAATTACATAGTTGATTCCAGACATCTGCCACTTAAATCGTGTACCTGAATTAATTCACCAATGTTTATTGATTACTATTGTCGTTTTTGTATAAAGGATGTTGTGTTTGTCATATGCCATTGATGTTCAATGTAGGTCTAAGCGGTAATGGCTTCACTAGAAGCTCGTCGCTTTATGGCTGAAATAATGCCGATGGGACATTAAATTTTAACTCACTCTTTCACTTCACTAGAAGCAAGGATATTTTCAATTCATTTACAATGATGTGCTTAAAAGTAAGTGTGTTCATGGAGCAGTCATTTTAAAGGATAACGAAAAGATTAATAACACATAGATGTCTTTAAAACTCAACTCATCTTTAGAAAGTGCTCGTCAAAATGATTTCCAAGGCAGCGTCCTGTTATGTTTTGTTGCTGTTATCTGATTTGTGGCTGACATTCGTTCTATTTGAATTCTTAACTTGAATTATGAGAAAAATAGTATTATTTTCTATGATCTTTCTGATTTTTCATTACGTTTGTACATATGTATGCTGAATCTGCTGTAAAGACGGTTGTTACTCATCTGCCTTGCCTTGCAAAATAAAAATCTGTTATTAACCTCGATGTAGTTCCAAAGGACTATCCGAAGATAATTGCCAACGGGTAGTGAATAGTTTGTTGGATTTTGCTGGAAATACCAACAACTTCATGGCGTTCAGTGTTCAAATTTGTTGATTTGGAACTATTGGTTCAATATAATCGGTTGGAGAAATATACATGTTGGAATAGATTTTAAGTGCTTATAACGGGTAATGCAAGGTCCCCCGTGAAGATCCGGGTTATAATCATTTTCGGCAACCGATGTTTGTCATAAGAGGCGACTAACGGGATCGGGTGGTTAGGCTCGCTGATTTGGTGATGCATGTCATCGTATCCCAATTGCATGGATCGATGCTCATGATGTTAATCACTGGATTGTCTTGTCCAGACTCGATTATTTACAGACCGTCGTCACATAACTGGAATATTGATTAGTGCGCGTTAAACAACAATCAGTGTAATCAGCGTTGCATTCGGAATAATGTTAACTTTAGAGTGTGAGTGAGTTACTTTGATTTTACGCGGGTTTTAGCAATATTCCATCAATATCACGGCGGGGAGCATCAGAAATGGGCTTCACACATTGTACCCATGTCGGGAATTGAACACGGGTCATCGGCGTGACGAGCGAACGCTTTAACCACTAGACTACCCGGCCGCCCCTGTTAACTTTAGAGGCATCACTAGTTTGACTAATGAAAGTATACATTGTATTTGTCGAAGTTTCGAAAATGGTACATTCACATTTACATATTATTAATCTATTCTTGAAGACGATGTATGCACTTTACAAGAAATGTTTGCTTCAAAAACATACGCCATTAGGGGTAGCCTGCTGTACTTCCCAAACAAATCAATATCATGAGTGTTTAATGGTTGCGCCTATTTGACTCAATTAAAAAAAACAATGAATGTTTAGGTTGTTACAATATTATGCAAAATATAACATCATCAAAGTAATCATTTCTTTATTTTAATGTTATATTTATGACTTAACCATGATTTATCGGGAGCTCAAGGATGCCTTTTAGTTACTGATATGAATCGAGAGTGTCAATGCATAGTTAATATAAAAGGTACGACTCTCTGTTGCACTATTTCGTTTGTGTGAATTGAACTGCAGGTATAATCGACCGTTCTATGGTTAATGTCACTAATGCGTCAAATCTAATAGTTCAAAACAACGGTTACGTCTTTGAGAGGCATTGAGAAGAAATACACATAAGGAAGAGAATATGGATGTCAACTTCTTTATTATGAGGATGACAACGATTCGGAGTATGTGCTTACTCCCTCATGCACCTGATGAAAGTGAAGGAGTAAGCATAGACTCCGAACGTTGTGTTCCTCATTAAAAGGAAGTTGACATCCATATATTCTCTTACTTGACGGTTTAAGTGTTGTGATGCGACTTCCCAGTGTACGCGTGTTAATTACTAGGTTCAGATTAAGGGACCGACCCTTTGTATATCCCTTGCTTTTGCATATTAAATGTTCAATTCCCTGGGGAGTTCAGACATCTTTCAGGTGGTAACTAATAAACCACTTAGGCATTTTACGTGCACAAAACATAATTTTAAAGTGCAAACGTTGAACCTTACCATGATGGTCTTGTTACCCTATTTACCGACTCCATGTATGTGTACACTTGCACGCTATAAATACCTTTTTGAGTGAGTTGGATTTAACGACGCTTTTAACAGTATTCCAGTTTTATCACGTCGTGTCAGCCTTATCAGGGATGAAATCCCAAAGTGATGCAGGTCTCAGACGTTTACCATTTCGGTGAAACCCACGAGCACGGGTCTCGTGCTGACAAACCTAGAAACATAATCGGGGCGAACCGGGATTCGGACCCACAAACAAAAGTTTCTGGCGTGCCCAAGGGACGCAACTCTGCACAGCGCATCGCGGCGCCTTAGACAACTGGGCCGACCGTGCCCCCTTGACAATTACGAGTAATCGTTAGTTATACACCGTGGCAACACAAAGCTATCTTAAACTTACAATGTGGGAGACATTGAATAAACAGAATACAAGATTTGTGTAATACTGTGTTCACAAGGAAAATGAAAGAAGGTAAATAAAACACAACCCGGGAAGTCGATACCTTGGTGCAAAGGATTATTTCAATACATAATAATACTTTTATCCAAATATTCTATTGACATTGAAATGATCAAGGAACTTGTTTATGAATAATAATGCTTTTAATCGTCACCCGCACACATTTTCCTTTCAGATATAATGTTAAAACGAGAGCACAATTACTGAAATTAAATTATCATGAATTAAAATTCGTAACTGTTATTTGACAGAAAACGTTTGGTAAAACCACTGAAATTTATACATTGTTCATGCAATTGCTATTGAAACACAGGTAAAGTAACATATTTCTTTTTTAACCCAATGTGGTGTTGTTACTTCTAGCGGAAAGCGATAATGGCTCTTCAAAATAGTTTCATTTGGTAATAAGACGATATGACGACAGTGATATCCCGCTAATCCGGAAATTTGCGTTTTTCAAGGAATCGACCTGACGGATGAATTTCTTCAATAGTAAATTATATAGTTAATTGACCAGAGCTAAATGCAACTTGGGTATATCCTGCATAAGCCGGGGTTTCGTCGTTTTGTGTCGGGTATCACATCAGCATGCTTTAATTGTAGGCAGATATTGGTGGCTGAGACTACATGTCCCCTACTAAAGGTTTTGCACTGCATGCTGAAACAGAAACATCAACGTCTGCCACAAGAAATATATATATATAAATGGACTCCTTTATATTGACAATAATTCCTCTGACAGGTATCAGTAACAACTTGCATGGAATTGTCAAATTAAGTAAATAGCCAGGCTATTATATGCTCACCGACAAAAGAATCGCGAATACTACGTACAGCTGTTAATTAACATATGAAGAATTATTCAAATTGGATTTATTTACAAACAAACATACTATTATGTTTTGTGAATGTCATAAAAACTCGAGACTCGAGAGGATTTTGGTGTAGAAAAGAAAAAGGACACACTGTGGTAACACTTTGTAACATTTCGTCTTAACGCCCATGTCTTTTGTCGGTGAGTATATATCCACTAACACTTGATACTGTGAGAACTCATCAGTCACCATCTTCACAAAGTTCAAATATTATTGCAAGGGGTGCATCCAGTTGGCCTCAGCGAGACGATGACTGAACAGTGACCGTGACATTTTACACGACCGTAATAGGCATGTAGGGTTACAGGAATTTAAAGGAAAATCAGTGGTCTCTAATCACATGGAATCGAGATATTTGAACTCGCTGAAGGTGATGCGCACACCGTCTGTAAGTCAACACCATGCCGTGATGGACGGTGGTACAATGCTCTTAGTTCAAGAGCATGTCTCTTAACACGACACCGGAATTCCGTAGAGAAGAAACGTCGATTCGCCATTAAAGATGGCGTGAAGCCAGTGCCTGATTTAAGACGCCCTGCCCACTCCATTCTAGAAAGTTTGTATAGAATAGCTGATATCTTGATGCAATTCTCAATTCGATGATGTTTTTCCAAGCAGGTTTTTACAAACTGCGCACAATTCGATAATTGTGTTTGAATCTCTCCCATTTCGATAATAGAGTTTATCACGCGACTGTGTTTGGAGATGGTAAATATCCTGCATTAGGAATTAACATTGTATTAAGCGAGGCTTGGCGAGCTAAATACATAGTTTGGATTCCTAATACAGGATATTTACCACCCCCATACACACAAGCGTGAAAACCTCTTTATCATATAATGTCCTTCTTTAATTCTGTGCTTGAAATTGTCTATAATCACAAATATGGCTACTGATCCCGCTTGGCTAGACCTAGTGCCCTCGCAAAATTGTTTCGAGATTTATTATATCTCCAAAGTTCACAAAACTTATAAAATGCCTTAGCTACGTCACAGTTGGACACTGATTTTCATAATATTAGACTGTTCTTTTGATAATGATAGCAATTATCCCTTTAGTTTATCCAGATTCCCGATGGTTAATTCTGACTCGATCGCCGAATGACAAGGGCGACGCCATGTTTGTTTATAAACAGTGAAAATAGTCCCTACTTGACCTTTGCTATTTGCATCTGTATCCGCATATGACCCCAACGGATATCGTTTTTATCCGTTGGCTTTATCCGAGAAACCTACCCATTATATGATAAAACGTATTATCAGACGTCTTCTTGAACATTGGTGTGTAACGTCCACTACCTCAATGCCCCATTTCCACATCACCGATTTGCCTATCAACATTCCACAACCTTGACACTACCAGGATTGAGACCTTTAGCAACTCTTATTGACTTTATTGATTTAAGCAATTATTTTTCATTCATTGATGTGCATTTATGTGAACTATGTTCATACAGTATAAATAACTCACATATCTCCGCTTCCAGTATATCATACGTCTATCTACCTCGTCAACGACCCGTGAAGATTCGGGTTAGAACAGGTCTTCAGCAACCCATGCTTGTCGTAAGAGGCGACTATGCTTGTCGTGAGAGACGGCTCACGGGATCGGTTGGTCAGGCTGGCTAACTTGGTTGATGCACGTCATCGTATCATAATTGCGAAGATCCATGCTCATAATATCGATCACTAGAGTGTCTGGTCAGGTTTCGATTATTTGCAGACCGCCGTCATATAGCTGGAATATATAAATATACAAAGAAACAAAGAAACCTTGTCAACACAGGCACCCGACGGGGTGGATGGCTAATCGCGAATTAACGCTACGGACAATTATTTTTATCAAAGACAGAAATCGAGTAATTCTGAATTGGGGGAATTCTCGCCACTGACAACCTGCCGATGAAATAAATTGTTGATAATTTGTGTTTAAAGTGTGATAAATATAGGATGCGAACTAAGACTCGAAAGTAAGGTCCCACGTTCTGACCAATAGAAAACAGGGGACTGTTGAAGACTTGTTCGTTGTTCCCTGCCATTCATGCTATACTACACTTGTCTCTTTTTAATGTTTTATTTCATCGTAAATGTTTCAGATCTGAATTGTAAATCTTTGTCTTTCTGACAATTGTCATGAGCGTACGCTTGTCCTTAAGTCAAACATAATGAAGTACTTTTTAGTTAAAACAAGCGGAAAAAAAGACCAGAGCATGATATAAAGTTCCCAAAAAACAACTTATTCTTAAATCAAATAATGCATGTTTGAGTACATATTCATGAAGAGATCTTCTCCAATTTAAGCTCGTGATTCACAATGTGCGCGTACATGTTAATGCATAGTGCACAATTTGGATATTTGCGTGTTTGTTGAGAGCATGATACTAACACACGTGTATTTGTTATGTAAACATCACACAAGGATTGTTTAGCTATCAAGTGTGTGAGGTAACACTTTTGTTTAACCGTAAATAATGCGTACGCAGTGCCCCTGCTTGCTGAAAACCAAGTTGCCACGCATTTAAATGGTCATCGAAACACAATAGCATCGCTTTGGAGACGTTATCGTTCGCAGGGCAACACTCATGATTCGCCAAGTGCCGCGTAGTCCACGTGAGACGTCACGCCACCAGATAACCATATTAGGTTGGTGCATCTACAGAACTCAATACCAAACTGCCACATTAACAGCTAGGACAATTCTTGTGATGAGATCAATAAGTGGCAGATCCTTACGCAGCCGGTTAAGAAAAACGCCCAATTGTCCTTCTACGTCACTGTCAGCATCTGAGGTTCAGAAGACAAGATTGGGACAGTATACTGTTCTCAAGTGAGTTCAGGTTTAATCTTGACAGCTCTGATGGTCTGTAAAGGTCTCTCAACCTTGTCCGTGTGGGGGTGGAAGTGTAATGGTATCATTGATAATGATAATTTGAATGGTGCGCTACCTGTAAGACAGTTTTCGAGATCATGTCCTCATACAAATACAGTGGCGAAAATGCCAATTTAATGTCACATACAGAGAGCCGCCGTATGTGTCAGTTTAATGTTACACTTATAAAGCCGTATATGCCAGTTTAATGTCACACATATAAAGACCATGTGTCAGCTTAATGTGACACACATATAGCCCTATATGCCAGTTTAATGTCACACACATATAGCCCTATATGCCAGTTAAATGTCACATACACAGAGCTGCATATGCCATTTTAATACAGAGCCCTATTTCAATATAATGTCATCCACATATAACCCTATTTATCAGTTTTATGACCTATGTGTCAGCTTAATGTCGTACATATAGAACCCTATGTGTCAGTATAATGTCACACATAAAGAACCCTTTGTGCCAGTTTAATGTCACGCATATAAAACCCTATATGTAAGTTTAATGTCACACATGTAGAGCCCCATGTCCAAGTTTAATGTCACTCATATAGCCCTATATGCCAGTTAAATATCACCCACGTATAACCCTATATATCAGTGTTATGTAAAAAAATAGAGACCTATGTGTCAGCTTAAGGTCACACATACAGACCTGTGTGTCAGTTTAATGTCACGCATATAAAACCCTATGTGTTAGTTTAATGTCACACATATAACACCCAATGTGTCAGTTTAATGTCACACATATAAATCCCTATGTGCCAGTTTAATGACACACATATATAGCCCTATGTGCCAGTTAAATGTCACACATATAGAGCTGTATATTCAGTTTTAATGTCTCACATAGAACCTTAAATGCCAGTTTAATATCACACATATATAGTCCTATATGCAAGTTTAATGTCACACTTAGAGAGCCCTATATGGCATTATAATATTACACAAATATAGCCTTATATGCCAGTTAAATGTCACCCATGTATAGCCCTATATGTCATTTTAAATGTCAAACATTAAGACATATGTGTCAGTTTAATGTCACACATATAAAACCCTATGTGCTAGTTTAATGTCACACGGATAAAACCCTATGTGTCAGTTTAATGTCACACATATCAACCCTATATGTAAGTTTAATGTCACACATACAATACCCTATGTGTTAGTTTAATGTCACACACTTTAAACCCTATATGTTAGTTTAATATCACACATATAAAACCCTATATGTTAGTTTAATATCACACCTATAAAACCCTATGTGTCAGGTTAATGTCACACATATTAACCCTATGTTTTAGTTTAATGTCACATGGATAAAACCCTATGTGTCAGTTTAATGTCACACATATCAACCCTATATGTAAGTTTAATGTCACACATACAATACCCTATGTGTTAGTTTAATGTCACACACTTTAAACCCTATATGTCAGTTTAATATCACACATATAAAACCCTATATGTTAGTTTAATATCACACCTATAAAACCCTTTGTGTCAGGTTAATGTCACACATATAAACCCTATGTTTTACTTTAATGCCACACGTATAAAACCCTATGTGTCGGTTTAATGTCATACATATAAAACCTTATGTGTTAGTTTAATGTCACACATACGATACCTAATGTGTCAGTTAAATGTTACACCTATACAACCCTATGTGTCAGTTTAATATCACACATATAAAACCCTATGTGTCAGTTTAATGTCACACATATAGAGCCCTATGTGTCAGTTTAATGTCACACACAGCGCTGCATATTCGAGATTAATGTCACACACATATAGTCCTATATACCAGATAAATGTCACACACATAGAACCTTATATGCCAGTTTAATATCACACGCATATATATACCTTTATTCCAGTTTAATGTCACACTTAAAGAGCCTTATCTGTCCGTGAAATGTTACACATATAAACACATATGAAACCCTATGTGTCAGTTTTATGTTACACACACACCTTAAATGTCAGTTTAATGTCACACATATAAAGCCGAATATGTCAGTTTAATGTCACACATACAACGACTTATGTGTCAGTTTAATATCACACATATAAAGCCCTGTATGCCAGTTTAATGTCACACACATATAGCCCTATATGCCAATTTATTGTCACACACAAATAACCTTATATGCCATTTTTTATGTCACACATATGATTTTCTTCCTTATCAATTAAACCGAATATTGTTTGCTGTTTTGTGATGTGAGGTCATCTTAAACATTTAATCCTGGTAACATATACTTAACAGTATTATGAATTACATAAATTTTAAATTAATCACTCACACAATTTGAAAGTCAATCCCAACGTGCTACCAATCTACAACCCGGAATATCTATTTGCGTTCTGTTATCGGACGAGGCGATGTACTGTGTGACCAGCGTTGTCAAACACTATGAAGTAAACGGAAAATATAGGATGATAAAAGTTACTTACAGTTCCGCATTAACCTTAGCCTATGAACCAATGGTGCAGATTGAACGTCTTTACTTTTATGATAAAACACAAAACACACGTTTGCTATTAACAGAAGTAGCACAATTAGTTATCATTTTGGGCTGCGATTTGAGACTTTCGGTTGTTGTTTTTTTCATAATGGAAGCGCACATAAAATGTTAGCATCCCCGTCTCTGACGTCACGCCACTGTTCACGGGTCACATGACAGCGGACGAGATGACCGCGTGAAGATATTACGCAAAGGCACTGCAGAGGTATATTGTTTGGATCTTACTGGCACCAAGGTAAGAGATAATACGAGCGAACGAAATGTTTCTCTTTAATGACTTCCTATGGACATTAAAAGACATGTACACAAAATACTGTGATATGTGGTCGCAGGTGAAAGCTGTGCATGGCTGTGACCGCAGTAAAAATAAATATGCGATATTCATCATGTGGTTCACGCACAGGAGCTGCCTCGAGTTTTGGATGGTTGATTGTATCAATAGTAGCTTGAACAATCCCACGGTGAACTGTTACCGTTCCAATTGTAATACAGCACCGTTTTGATGACTCTTAAACGTGAGCTTGAGACAATTATATTCCATGAACAAAATCATGAGTAAATACAATGTAAAACCAAAAGAGCGAGTAATCACATGTTATAGCATACCATTGACTTGTATCGGATGAATATCTCGTTTCGTCCATTGGTTGAGATGCTGGTGCGTTGGTCAGTCTGTTATATATCTAAATCGTCACAATCGGCGAGCCCGCTGTATATTGTCCATAACTTGAATTCCGGGGTAAAATAGGTCTTCAGCAACCCATGCATGCCGTAAAAGGCGACTATGCTTGTCATAAAAGGCGACTAACGGGATCGGGTGGTCAGGCTCACTGACTTGGATGATACATGTCATCGATCCCAATTGCGTGGATCGATGCTCATGATATCGATCACTGGATTGTCTGGTACAGACTCGATAAGTTACAGACCGCCGTCATACAGCTGGAATATTGCTGATCAACAAATCGATCAACCAACCAACCATAACTTGAATGAAAGGAATCACACAAAACACCTTCCATTTCGTTGTATTTTCCATACATAAATATCAGACTTCCTCTAATATACACTGAATGAGTGAATGAGTTAGTTGTGTTTAACGCTGCTACGAACTGTATTTAACTTACATCACGGCGTGTCAGCTTAACGTGGAAGGCAAGTTATGGAGGTCTTAGACGTTAACCTCTTTCTGTGTTTAAGATGTGAATATTTCGTTGAATGAACCGAGCCACACGCTTAAAGTAGAGTGTATATTTTCACAAGTTATAATCACATATTTATCTTTAATAGAGCATGGTGGACATTTGCAACACCATTTTGCTGATCTGTGCTATCTTAGGGATATATTACAATTTAAGAATGTATACTAACATACTGTGGTGGATCCATGACCTCGGCTGAGAAAGGTACAAGTGTAAAACAGGAAGTTTTTTTGTTTGTTTTTAATGGTGGCAAACCGGACATCCCTACGAATGTTAATCCATTGTCAATTATAAAACATTTCGAGATATGATTCTAGCCTGTTCATCAACAATTGTCCTTATTGTTTTCTGTTTTTTTAATAATTAGTCCTTCAAATATGTTACAAAGGTGAGATATTTTCGAATAGCAAAACAGATCCTCCCCACATTATACTGCGCGCCCTTGTTTAACCGAACAGTTGTTTTAAGAGGCGTCCTGTTAAGTCAGTGACCACCACATATTGTTTTGTTCCATTTTTGGCTGAGAACCAACATTCATAAATCGAATGTTGGTTCTCAGCAAGTATTTTCAAGATATCAGTAATTGCAAATACCTATTATTATAAACTGAACAACAAAAATTCCTTTTGTTGTTGAGTATACGTATTTGATATATCTGTAATTCATTTCAACATGAATCATTTCGTGTTTTCTTCATTTGCCTGGTTGAAAATGATATTATCCTGGCAATGTGTGCGTTTTTTGTACGTGTAAAGCATGTTAGTTCGCATGGTGGCAGTTATTAATACCAATCACGTGTCTTATGTTGACAGATGAAGTCTTCCATCAACAGACTTGTCCTTGTCCTCTACGTCCTGGCAAACCTCACAATGCATGTCGCAGACAGTAGGTTTCTATTTTTGTTTATATGATGTTATAATCAATTTATGACAAATCACGAAATCACAATTTTTCCCCGCCGTGATGTTGCTGGAATATTGCTATAGGCGACGTAAAACCAAACTCACTCACCATGCATTGCTTTATCTTGTTCCCTCATCCTGCATGATTTTGCCTGCACGGGAAATGCAACAAAACAACCATCTCACAAAGGACGCACAGGTTTTTGCTATTGTATTATTTTAAATGCATAAATACTTTGGCAACATTCTTTTTCATCTGATTTGAAATGTTATGCATATGCAGCTGGCGTTTATTTGGATGATGTTTGTCAGCTGTGGTGTGCAAATGCAAAACAGTAGCCATTTTGCCAATCGATTGACAAAATATGATAAAATAATCATCCCTAAAACATTCGACACAACAGGCTTTTGTTCTTGCTTTATAGACGGTACCCGTTACGACTGCAGCATAAGTACATTATAGGGCTATAGTTTCAGACTTTTATTGTAAATATGACATATTATTCTGATGCCATATATTACCTGGCTCTCAAAATACCTTCATGTTCACGACCACGGGTGGTCAAGACGTCTAATGCACTGTAAGTCGCTGTCTAGAGTTACGTCCCCTAGGCGTGCCAGAAACCTATGATTGTGGGTTCTAGTCCCAGATTCGCCCTGAGTGTGTTTCTCTGTTTGTGAGGTCTAAAAGCGTACTTGTGGATTTTACTAAAGTAGTAAACTGCTATTAAGAACTGCATCGGTTATGCTTTCCTCCCACATTCGACTGACACAACTGATATAACTGAAATATTGTTCAAAGCGGCGTTAAACCCCAACGCCATCCAACTTGCTATACACTTGTGTTCAGGCCGGGCACTCATTCAATGAACAGCATGTAGCTGAGAGTTCGATCACATTAAACGTCAATTTAGCGTTTTCTCAATGCATATATTGTGTAGCAGCATTATTAAAACACCACATAGATTCCTTGTCCGTCTTAAGTGGAAAACCATCTTTACAAAGCCATTTGGCGTGGCAATCTTTATGTTTTTTCGCGCTGCATATTGAGTACCTATAACTGTTTTCTTTGTGGATTCTACACATGAATCTGTGGAATTTATTACCATTGGTTCAAATTTAAATGAAACGTATGCAAAGTATTTCACGGAGGACATTAACTGATACTACAGTGATGGTCATGTAATATCTATTGGCAGTAAATCCATACACTTACTGGGATTTCATCGACACGATCCGGTTTCATATGCCGTCTTTGAGTAGCCATATAACGTAGTTGCTTGCATTTCGAACTGGACTCTTGTTTCCAGATAATTGACACATCCACAGAAACACGCCTCAGGTCAGTACTGTCCTATATTGTGTACGCTTTATACGTTTGACCATCACTATGTCAATGAAACATTATTGTAGCTTTGGAGACAAGATATTTCTATCGCGCAGAAATTCAAAACACGCTATATGGGTCTGTTAAAGGAGCCCAAAATATTTCTTCTTCTTGGAAATACAGCATGTCCTGCAGACAAATTATTTATTCATTATTTTTGGAGGAGAGAGAATTTTAGAAAGGTATTTAAGACTTGAGCTGCGTTTATGGAGGTAGCGGATAATGCAACGTGTGTACATCCTTCTGTACGTATATAACTCTGGAATCGAAACAATATATTCAAGTCAATTTTTAAGAACAATTCAACAATACTAACTTCACAGATTGCTATAGTCATTGAAATACAAAAAAAATGTAGCCACACCCGATTATCAGCCAATCATTAGTCCGCTAGCGGATGGGGCTCTTTATTTTAGGTTTATAGAAACGCGAAGGCAAACGAAATTGCATATGTAGGCAATCGATGCTATGAAATCAGTACATTAATACAGGCACTACATTAGCGGTGTAACAACCCGAACATAACGGTTCAAAACATTTGAATGTATACACTGAAACATTTCTCTTCATTGTCCATTAGTAAGGTTAAACTTTAACTCTTTAACGTACTTATTATATATTAGTGGCTTTAAACTTCATCTACTCACACTCATTATACATAAGTGACGTTAAATGTTAACTCACTCACACTCATCAAACATAAGTGACGTTACACTTGAACACACTCACACTCATAATCGATGTTAAAATGAAACTTACTCACACTCATTATGCATAAGCAACGTTAAACGTTAACTCACTCACACTCATTATAGATAAGTGACTTTAAACGTAAACTCACACACATGCATTATATATTAGTGACATTAAACGTTAACTCACACTCATTATACATTAAAGACGTTAAAAGTTAACTCACTCACACTCATTATACATAAGTGACGTTCAACGTTAACTCACTCACACTCATTATAGATAAAGACGTTGAACGTTAACGCACTCATACTCGTTATACATAAGTCACGTTAGATTTTAACTCACTCACACTCAATATACATTAATGACGGTAAACGTTAAGTCACTCACACTGAGAAAACATTACTCGCATCACAAAAGGCATTCAAGTGACCAGCTCTCCGTGTTTATGTTGTTGTATTCCTGTTCCTTCTCACAGGTACGGTTGAGATCCAGTGCCCCGAGGAATCCTACCTGAATGAGCCTTCTAGTCTGACCTGCTCTACATCTCAAGCCTTCTCTAACATCATTTACAAGGCTCCAAGTGGGAACAGTCCACAGTGTTCACAAACGGGCTGCACACCTGTCAGCGGATTCCAGGCAGTTCCTATAAACTCATCTTGCACTCAACTAACGATACTGAAGGTACAACAGAGACATGCAGGACAATGGGGGTGTGCTGATGGCGACAATAACTTTGTGTATAGCAGTCTTGTTGTTGCTGAAAGTAAGTACTTAGCAAGGTTTATGGTTATTATGGGGTGAACGTATGACCGTGACATTTTTCAAAATGTACAAATTGCGTCAAATACATCTAATTTTTCAGGATGAACTCATCATTCAGCATAACCAGGGAGACATGGTCAGTTCATCTACATGATGAGATACCCCTGACATGTACAGTTTGTTTGTTTGTTGTTTAACGCCGCACTCAGCAATATTCCAGCTGTATGACGGCGGTCTGTAAATAATGGAGTCTGGACCAGACAATCCAGTGATTGACATCATGAGCATCGATCATAGTCGCTTTTTACGGCAAGCATCCAGGACAACTATAGTTCTGCAGCTTTTATATTTTCACGTATTGTCGGGAGGGTACAGGAGCCACCGTGTAGCTACCTGGAAACGTCACCGCTTCTACAGAAATAAATATGACACTAACAGACTTTCCGTATGTAAGACTGGAATTTATCAGCTCAAATAGTACGCTTTTTACCTGTGGTGGCGTTACGAAAATCGGTGAGTTAAGAAGAGTATTTTACCCAATGAAAGTAATTCCTCCATGTCTGAGTATATTCTTCTGTCAAGTGCTACAAATAAGAAGCAGAACATAGGCTGTGACATACTATTATCATATACCATCCTCATATTCAGCCTATACATTTACAGTTAATAAGATGGTCATCATGTTTGTAATATGCGATATGACCTAGAGTACAGAATAACCAATAGACTATTTTCCTATGTTGCTTGCTGTACATATATTTTCATTAAAATAGATGTTAAAGGCATCGCATAATAGATACTGTACCACAGAATCCAAAACTGTGACGTATATTTGTGTGTGTGGTGTATTTAAAATTTTAGAAACGTATTATGGACCTAATCTCATCTGGGCCTACAGTGTACAGTCACATGGCCTGCCGTTTCAAATAACTCTGTGAACAGTTGAACCTGAGTATGAGAACGACGAAACTGTCAAAATATTAAAGTGTTATTCTTCGTACCTAATTTTAATAGGCCCTTTATTGAGTAGAAACACTTTGGATACCGAAAAGCCGAGGTTTTGACGTGTATCGGAGTCGCCATTTCTTTACAAATGGACGCGTACATACCACGTGAGTTCATACGCGTTTTGATTGGCTGCGTTCATACAATTTGTCGTATGCAAATAGAGCATGTACTGTTTTGTACAACTCACGTACAACAAGTGGCATACCATGTGTTGCATGCAACAAATAGTATAAAACAAGTTGTAAAGTGTGAATGTCCGATAACATTCCTACCAGAGTGTTTGCTGTTAGATTGTTATGCATCATCATTTTCAGGGAACCCACCATGCAGCATAACCGTTGACACCTGTCCAGTTCTTCTGCATGAGAAGATATCACTGACAGTAACCATCCAGAACTACTATTGCTCTATAGCTTTCAAGGTTTCACTCCGTGTCGGGAGCGTTCGGGAGACACTGTCTACAGGTGTACATGTGACTGGCCCTACAAATATCACCGCTGTCAAAGAAATAAATATGACAAAAGAACACTTTGGGGATGTACAACTGGAAATAATCTGCCAAAAGAGTAGGACAATTTCCTGTGGAGGCGTTACAGTTTTACATGGTAAGTACAGAGTGAGTGAGTCAGTAAGATTTTACGCCGCTTTTAGCAAAATCCCAGCTATATCACGGTAGGGGACACGAGAAATGGGCTTCACAAATTGTATTCATGTCGGGAATCGAACCCGCGTCTTCGACGTGACGAGCGAACGCTTTAACCACAAGACTACTCTACCGTCCCCATAGGTACAGAATGACCATCTGCCAGTCCAACATTCTAACACGATTGTTTGTTCTGATTCATAAGTAATAATAGTTTCAATATCTAGCGTCTAAGTGAAAGTGTATATGTCTGTGTCCAATATAGGAATAACCATCACAGATAACGAACATAATACGATTTCGATTCAATTGATTATTTCTAAGCATCCAAACGCTTCACCTAGTTAATGTGTAAAACAACGTCAGTTATTTTATTGGTAGGATACATTGAGAATAGTACATGGATCAGTGCGTGATAACGAAACTAGAGTCGCTTATAGGAATTCGCCTAGTTAAATGGCGATACAATGTAAATCACTAAGCCGTGCTATAGAGCCCAAAACAGCGGCATACAATAACCCGTTCTGCACCCGGTACTGTACACTCCCAGGTGTATAAGAAGCCCATTGGGCTCTGTGAAACGTTTTTGTGGCATAATTGCACAGTCGCGAGACGTGTAATTCAGAGAGAATGCATACGGTTCAATACAATTTGGTCACACACGTTGCAGGCCAGGGGTCCGTCATCGTCACAATTCTTGCATATGCGGCGGCGGCCGGCCCTAGTTTCTCACGAAAATCACATGCATTTCTCTGTAATACACGTTTAATATGACCTGGTGTGGTATGTGTGTTTCATTATTCGGGATTAAGGGAATAAACGGAATAGTTTACTTAGTTCCAGATACTTCTCCAACTCCTCCAACTCCTCCAACGTGCCCCTTGCCTCCAGGCAATAGAGGACAAGTCACCATTGCAGTCGTGGTTACCTTCTTCGTCACCAGCTTCCTATGCATTCTTCTGGTGGTTATCGTGTACAAAAGAGAGGTAAATGAAAAGTTGTTCATCCCTTGTTGATACCTCTTATTGGCTTGTCACCGTCTTGTAAAATACTACTACCAATCGGCTGCTCTGCCAGCACAGACATCATGCCATAAAGTCTGATGTGACGTCACTTGTTTGTTACGTCATACGTGTCCCTGTTACCATACTTAAATTGCGATATCAGTTACAGGATAGATATACTTGTCCCACACCTAGACGTCATTGTGTACAAGCCCACCCAGCTCGTCAGAGACACCTATCAATAAAGCCACTTGATCATCACCACATGTAACAGTAACGGTCCTGACCATACACCACGTGTTAGTGGCTCAAGCATAATTAATAATTAATGGTGCGTTTTCATAAACGTAAGTTCAGTGCAGTGAACTGGTTTCTGATATAGTGTAATTTAATGTATTTCTTTGTTTTCTTTCAGGAATTGAGGGATTTCATGGGAAGGTAAGACAAGTTTCAAAATGTCGTGTTGGTGCAATTTGTATGTCAAACCTCACGTGTTATTATCCCCCGCCCAACACGTTTCGTTTCCGGAGCATAACTAAGAAACCGTTCAATATTTTTCATCCAACCTTGCAGGTTTGCCAAGTACATGCTGAACTGGTGCCTTTTGATACTTAGAAATTTTAGATTTTTTTTGTTTTTTACGTTTCCATGGCAACAAGACGGACTTAGGTTATGTGAGGGTAGGGTTCGTTTCTGGAGCACAACTCATAAACCGTTCAATATTTTTTCATCAAACTTTGCAGGTCTGTCAGGTACATGCTGACCTGGTGCCTTTTGCTATTTCTAAATTTTAGAAATATTTATTTTGTACGTTTCCATGGCAACAAGATGGACTCAGGTTCCAAACTCTTCTTTTTTTACAATTTCCATGACAAGTTCCACCTTGGTTAAAAAAGTTAGGGTTTTTTAAGATTCAATTTTGTCATAAATTCTGCAACAGGGGCGGGGGATATAGACACGTTAGTGGCAAACTCTTGTTTTAATATCAATCATTCCCTGTTCCAAATCTTTTAAAGATACAGATTCCTGTAACAAATGTTATATTTTGGGACAGCACCTTCACAGTAAAGTACAGATTCTCCTACTTTTTGGGGTTGAGTTTCATGGGGGATTCGAACCCACGCTGCCAGAGGGAGGCACACAAGGCAGCGATCTACCCTACTCAGCCACCGAGGCTTCTACTAAAATGGTAGTCTAGATATTGTACTTTGTGTACCCCTCTGACAAGTGTAAACTGGCATGGCACCCATGGCCGAAAGATATTAACACACAAATGCCACGTCGATATAGATTTCGTTTAAAAGCAGAACATGTTCCCTTCCTTGTACCCAGGAGTTGTGGCATCTTTACCGAATACAGATTAATATTCCCGAGAGTGTAGGGATCTCATATTACCCGTGTTTAGAGCGGAATTCGATGTCCACTGGTTGGCACACCCTTCAGTAGCAGGATGATGCACGGACAACATCCTTGATGAGTCCTGAGCACATCAGTGACATTGATGCAATGCGTTGTCAAGCTAAATATCGCCGTCAGCCCTTGCCCAGCTGAAATATTTTTGTCTACATTAAGGCGACATCACAACTAGCCCGTTGGGCTTCTATTTTTAATTTGAATGAATACACATATGTGTACGAGAATGCCCGAAATTGCCCGAAAAGTGACGCACGTCGAAGCCTGTTCGAGGCCGTGCGCAACTAAACGTAAACTCATTTAAGTTCTTTTTCGGATCTTGATGACGATGTTCTTCTTCAAAGATCATGGGTATCAAGTGCTTAATCTCCTTTCACAATGCCATGTGGAGCGCTTTTGGCGCATGCAATGAGAAGACAGATATTAACAGGAACAAGACACTAACTTGAAGAAATACATATTTATTTGGCTTTTATCTCAAGCGTGAAAATGTGGTGCGTTTTCGCGATTTGACCGCAGACAGGCGGAAATTAATCCCGTCTCGTGACCGAATTTCTAGTAGCCTTAAACATTGGTGGAAAACAGGAATCACTAAAATAAATTGAAAAGAATGAAATAATAAATTATATATTATGTAAATGATAATTGCGTAAATTAAGGTCAAGGTCAGCGTTAAGCATTAATTGTGCGTACTTTCACTTGTTTCGAGTCATTTAAATGGTGTAAGTATGTTTAGTCAGTGGATTACCCTCTTTTCATATCGATATTTGACCATGTTACACATGCAAATCAGAAACGTTCAGAAACAGACCGGATGTTCATTTCATTTTATAGTGGATTGACGTTTTACTGTTGAAGTTTCGGGAGGGGACGGGACGGGAAGTGTCACCATTGGGCCGGACTTAGTTACTTAGAGGCATGTTAGAGGTTCTTGGAAAACATGTACGTGAAAGGCGGCAGGAGGCAGATTCAGATAAAAGCAAACGACTTTCTAGTGACCACATGGTTGCCACAGACTGCGCCTCTAAAGAACATTGCCTTTGACATTGTGACATACGATTCCCTATGTTTTTAAGGGTACTTATTGACCTGTTCGAATATATCTCGTTTGCGTCCTTAGACAATTTCGTTATTTGCTGCAGAAATTCATATTATGATTCATTTAAACGTTTATTTCCAGTACCGTAGAGAGTGATCGGAATAATGAGCCTTGATATAAGTACATGTATGACCGGTTTTGTGATCAGTTTGACCCTCTGGGTGCCGAGTTATTTTTCTAACGCACATTTTCATATGATCTGAAAAGTTAACATTGAGCGAGAATTGAGCTCTTGGTCTACCTCCAACAATACATTTATGCAGGGATGTACACTATTATATTTCCTATATGATGGAGTAGTATATGATGCAAATATCAAACCGGTTTGAAAAAGAGACAGAACTAAGTTTTGTCCGAGTTTTGTAAAAATAACCCCAACAAATCTCACCGCTTTTCGTCGTATACCAATGACGATACGGAAACTAGCTTTACGGAAACTAGCAAGTGTCTAATATATAAACGACATAATGATATATCAAATGAATTTCCATGCGTATGTATAACGTTTTATATTCGATACGAAACATAGCTTGCCATATATGAACAGAATCGGTTTTTACCCATGACGTCAAAAGGCGACAATAGACACTCACACCAACAGAGGGCATAACTCCGCTACGTTTAGACTCAGTCCATTGTATCTCAGCTTACTAGGAATGTGCTGTGGATGACGACGAACTAAATTATTCCAGCGCAAATTTGGACATTGAAACCATATGCGTTTTGGAGCAATCACAAATCATAGGAAATGATACTACATAAGAAAGGGAACCGTGAAGATCCGGGGTAGGATAGGTCTTCAGCAACCCATGCTTGCTGTAAAAGGCGACTATGCTTGTCGTAAAAGGCGACTAACGGGATCGGGTGGTCAGGCTCGCCGACTTGGTTGATGCATGTCATCGTGTCCCAAGTTTGTTGATCGATGCTCATGATGTCAATCACTGGATTGTCTGGTCCAGACTCGATTATTTACAGACCGTCGTCAAACAGCAGGAATATTTCGGAGTGCGGCTTTAAACAAACAAACAAACATTATAAAGGACGTAATAGTGAAATGTATGACCCTATCTAACCGGTAGAACTGGGCTTAAACCTCCGCATTCACCTGCTCGTGGAAATTGAATTTGCTATTGTTGCACCATTATTAAGGGAGTGCCGGCCTTATTTCCAAATGTTATGAATTATTGAAAATTTGAATGTTTTATTTACGCTTCTTTTATGTCTTTGTCGAAGTCGGAGTAAGACGACATTGTTATATATTTATAAAACAGAAAGTTTTTAGGCACAATATAAAGTGATTTTGTTTGTAGTGTTTGTAAAAGGTCTTGAAAAAGATAAAACTATTAGGTCGATAGTGCATATTAATTAGGCATCTAATTTACATCAATCAAGTGCTCATAGAATAGTTCAAAACATACCGATATATTTTTAATATTAGACATGTATGCATCCATTATTAAGTGGATATTTCCCTTCATCTTTGAATTTCCGACTCTTTGCAAGGGATCTATTTGTAATTCACTTATGTGCTTCGTTAGTCTTCCAAGGTATATTTTCAAGATATTGATCAATTTCCTGCAATGAATAGACGAATTGATATATCAATATAAGAGAAACTGCTACACATTGTAGAATCTCAATGATGCTGCCTCCGGTGGGCAGGATACGCTCACGCATTTCTGTCTGATAGTGATCCATAGACATGATAATGACATAGTAGAAATCGTACAATCGAAATTTCTTATGAATATGGAAAGGGTTTTGTCGCTTCGATTTACGTTATCAAAGAGTACTGGTTTCATAGCACAGCGTTCGTTTTCACACCTACATGTAATATATTTCTCTTTATTCCATCTATATTAATTTTATTAGTGACAAAGACATTTGTATATTTGATGCTAAACTGTACGAGAAATTCAGGGATGTGTGTATTGCATTTGAGTGTGAAATATAGGCCTGTCATAGTCGGCATGTGGGAAACGTGATTTTGTAAACACTATCCAATATGGCGGAAAGTTCACTTCAGCGTTTGTGTTGAGGTATTTTCTAAAACATCGTAACAAATTCTAGGGTTTTCGGCGACGTTTTGGAATGAACGTTTTGGAATTCTCCTGTGAATACTCGATATTTAGATTTAGAAAAATACATGAAACATAACGCTGTGAATGGTAAAATATCAAAAGTAGCGATAGTAGTCGGTTTTCAGTAGTTTTGTTCTTCTTAAAATGATAATGTCACAGGATAGAGAAATTCGCGCAGAATCCAAAACTGTATGGTATATGTCTGTGTGCGTGATGTAGTGTCATTTATATTCAACTTCAAAAATTAACGTGTGTGCATATATATACCAATGTGTATATACATTAATGTATGTGTATATATATATCCATGTGTATACACATTAACGTGTGTGCATATATATACCAATGTGTATACACATTAATGTGTATATATATGCCCATATGTATACACATTAATCTGTGTGTATATATACCCATGTGTATACACATGTGTGTGTATATATACCCATGTTTATACACATTAATGTGTGTATATATATATATCCATGTGTATACACCTTAACGTGTGTGCATATATATACCGATGTGTATACAACTTAATGTGTGTATATATATGCCCATGTGTATACACATTAATCTGTGTGTATATATACCCATGTGCATACACATATGTGTAAAGTGTGTACATATATATATACCCATCTGTATACACGTTAATGTGTGTGCATATACTACGGATATTTACCAATGTGTATACCCATTAACGTGTGTGTGTGTGTGTGTGTGTGTATATATATATATATATATATATATATATATATATATATATATATATATATACCAATGTGTATTCACATTACGATTTGATTTATACTCTTAAATGGTGGTAATATACCCATATCTTA